TCCCTACCGCCGCCTAACGGAGTGAGCTCCCGTTCCTTGTCCCAGCTTCTGCCAACCTGGCAGTTTGAAAGCATGTAAAAAATGCAAGTAGAAAAACAGGGACCCCTTTGGTGGGAAAGGAACAGCATTCCGTGCGCCTTCGGCGTTTAGTCATGCCGGCCACATGGCCACGGAGACGTCTTCGGACAGCGCTGGCTCTTCGGCTTTGTAACGGAGATGAGCACCACCCCCTAGAGCCGGAAACGACTAGCACACAGGTGTGAGGGGAACCTTTACTTTTATCTTACCACTCTCTACAGACTCCCCTGTTATCATTTCTCCTCCCTTCGGACACCTCTGAGTGGCATCTACAAGTTGCCCATCTGGATTTCATGATTACTAGATCAAGGTGGGAAGGCGTGATATGTTGTGGGTCCCATTAATTAGGCATATTACATCTGTTGGGACCATGGAAAAGGACCTTCTCAGTGGTGGCCCCTTCTCTATGGAACATCATTCCTCAAAGTGGGGGGGGGGTTACAATCAGCTCCCACCTTGTGGCTTTCCTGAAATATCCTGGTTATGTCAGTGGAGTTGGGGGCCATGAATGGAGCCAGAGTCTCATTATCCCGGGGTCATGTGATCCAGGGGTGCGCTTCAAAAATTTTAGCAAGGGGTTCTCTGCCTGGTTGCGCATGGCCTAGTTGGCCTCCTGCACCACGGCAGGTGGGGAGAGTGTTTCTGACCTTCCCTGGCTCCGGAGGCTTTCCTCGAGCCTCCGGGAGGGGGAAGCCAGAAAAGGGCCCATTTCTGGCCTTCCTGAACTTCTGGGTGGCCCGTTTTTCACCCTCGCCAAGCCTCTGTGCACACCTTGCACTTACCTGCATCCAAAACGGGCCCCGTTGGGATTCCTGGGGTGGGGGTGGGAGGGATGGGAGGGGTGGGGCCAGCCAGGAGTGGGATTTGGGGGTTCTCCAAACTGCACAGAATCTTAGCTTGGTCCCCTTTTGCGACCTTCTGACAAGCGAATCCACGGGGAATCCAGAATCGCTTAACGAGGTTATTAATTTAACCACTGTCGCGATTTGCTCAGCCCTCGTGGGAAGAAAAGTCATAAAACGGGGCAAAACTCACTAACCAATTTTTCCCCCCGCCGTGGGCTCGATTGTGGCCATATGTCGAGGACTGCCTGCCCTAACTTCTCCAAGCTGCTCTTCTCCGGGGGGAGGGGACTTACCAACGTCGTAGATGTTTTTGTGAGCCGGCGAGGAGGTTGGCATGTCCAAATACGACGCGTCCCGGTGGGCAGGAGACTTCATTTCCACATAGCTGTTCTCGGGCGGTTTGCGGGTCAGGATGGGAGGGTCTCGGATGGTGGCGTAGGGGTTTTCGCTGCTGTTGAGGGAAGCGGAGCTGGAGCTATGGGCAGATTCCTTCACGTAGTCTGCAAAGACAAGAGGCCGGCTCGGTCTCTTAGCGGGTGGGAACCACCGGGCCTCGAGGTACGGGGGTGAGGGGGTAGGGAGAGGTTGGAGACCTAGCCCTCAACGCACACAGCACAGGAACCCACCAGTTACGCCTCGGGAATGTCCGAACCACCAATGTCTCGCCAAACCATCTGCTCATCCAAACTCATGTGCAAGTCATGTCCTGAACATTTGGTGGGAAGAAAAACAACCCTTTCAGTACCACAGCTCTCACGGTTACAAGGGTCTCGATGTGACAGTTACGTTTACATTTATGCGCCCATGGTGCTCCAGCCCACCCAGCCACCCGTGGAGGAGGGAGGTGCCACCCGAGGCGCCAAGGAGCATGCACGACACAGGTGGTATTCAGCCAGTTCTGACCAGTTCTGGAGAACCGGTAGCGGAAATTTTGACTCATTTGGAGAACCGGCAAATCCCACCTCTGACTGGGCCCGCCAACCCCATCTATTCGCTGCCTCCCCCTGAGTCCCAGCTGATTGGCTGGGTCTCCTCTGGTTGCCCTGCACAGGAGAACGGAGCTGGAAAGCAGGTTAGCGGGGTGGGGAGGAAATGGGGATTTTGCAGTATCCTTCCCCTGCCATGCCCACCGAGCCACCCCACACAACCGGTAGTAAAAATTTTTTGAATCCCACCAGTGATGCACGGCCGTCTCCCTTGGATCTCTTGGGAGATCACGGCCAGGTAGTGGAACACCTGGTTGAGATGCATCAGCCACAGAGCACACCCCCCCACCCATCCTGGGGGTGCTCAACCTGGACTTCAGATTCAGCGCTTTTGGGGACCCATTTATCTCTCGTGGGGCTGTCAGGATCAGCTGTTCTCCTGATAGCAGCCACTCCCTTCAGTCCCTTTATTGCACGAAAACATGGGCAGAAGGATAATTCCTTGCTTAGGGATCCCCGCGGGAGGATGTGCGCGAGACACCTTTTGCGGCCTTTTGACAAGCAAAGTCAATGGGGAAGCCAGATTCACTTAACAACCGTGTTCGTAACATAACAACTGCAGCGATTCACTTAACAACTCTGGAAAGAAAGGTCGTAAATGGAGCAAAATTCCCTTAACAACTGTTTTGCTTAGCAACAGAAATTTTGGGCTTGATTTTGGTTATAAGCCCAAGACTATTTGCGTGGCACAAGGGGGAAATTATTACATTTGTGGCTGGATCATAATCGTGTCAAATCTATCCGAATTAATTCAGTGTAGATGCGGATGAAATGAATCCAAGTTCGTTGAGCTTGGATTCACCTCGACACCCTGATTCCAGTGCTGCCCAAGGAAGAGAATGCTAAACACAAATACCTCCTAACCATCCCACCAGGAGAAGATCTGGAAGGGGAGAATTGGCACTCTTCTTGGCAAGTTACCTGGAAGTTTTAATTTGCTTTCAGAATAACCTTTTTTTCTGCAAGGCGGTTTGAACGATGGAGGGAACGCTGTACAAACAGGTCTTTATCATCCTTCAAAAGCATTTCAGATTCATCATTTGGGTCAAACAGGAAATGCAGGGGTGCGGGGTAGGAGTTGAGCATTTTCTAATTTCTCTGCCCCCCTCCAACCCTTTCTAAATTGAAGGTCTGTGCTGGGGATTTGCAGAAATGAACCTTCTTTATTCTTCATGATTGTATAAATATATTTATGATACAATGGTAATATATGATATGACATGACATGATATGATATATGATATGATATATAAATCCATCTATCTACCTATCTCTACCCATCATAATTTACCTATCTTTCTATTCTCTCTCTCTCTCTCTCTCTCTCTCTCATTATCTATCTATCTGTCTATCATTATCTATCTATCTATCATCTATATCTATCTATCTATCTATCTATCTATCTATCTATCTATCTATCATGTATCTATCTATCTATCTATCATGTATCTATCTATCCATCTATCCATCTATCCATCCATCCATCCATCCATCCATCCATCCATCCATCCATCCATCCATCCATCCATCCATCCATC